TTTTATAACAATGTTTGAGCTATCTTTTTAAGTTCTAAAATTTGTATCAATGAAAAATATGATGATAGCTAACACTTATTGAGCATATGTGTGCCTAGCAATCATATTTGTGTTTTTCAGATATTATAACGTTAGTCTTCACAATCAAACTACAAAGTAGGCATCATTATCCTTTCTATTTCACAGAAGAGAAACCTGAAAAGACTAGCAATGGTGAAGCTAGCATTCTAAAACGGGCCACCCATATGACCTCTATCTTGCACTAGGGTATGTTTATGTTCCCACTTTTTGGCAATATACGTTTTCTTCTTTCAGTAGTGCAAAGATTGCGCTAATGCACAGTCCCTGAATTGTTCCATTCATTTATCATTTTCAATGATTGATGAATCACTTTCAACAGCTACCAACACTTCCATCAGTCTACCAAGTAAATGCAAAGGGTGCTTTATCTTCCCAATCCATCTAGTGGTAAATATGTAATAATGACGAGTTACACAGTGATGAAAGTTATCCATGTCCTTCTTTAAAAAGATCTGGATAGACAAGTCCTACTAAGGAAATTAAAAACTTAGATACAAACAGAACCAATTCCACTGTAAACAATAGATAGAAATAATCAGTTATGTGTATAGTATTATTTTGAGGCAATGCAGTGTTTTGAAGACTTGCACGTTTTTAAATGTCTTCTGTATGTATAGTCTGCATTATATTTGTATAAAACTTACAGGATTTCCACATTCACTTTTTGAGTTATAAATATGTAAGATGGTGTTAGTGTTGCAACAAAAAAGTAGTCATTATTATTAAGGGTTAAAAAAAAGAAAATATGTAGTCAACATTTAAAGAGAGTAAACACCAACTGGAGAAGTAATTAAGCTTCCATAGACAGATGTTAGCTTGGACTCTTGCTCCTGTTTTGACTTTGGGGATTATCTACATTTTTACCTGTTTGGTTTTATGTTCCCCTCTTGAGCTATTTCCTGTAAGCACCATTCTGCTTTTCGCCCATTAAGCTTCATGGTATCTAGGTTTGACATTCACATGGTAGATCTTACTAATAGATTTTAGCTGTTCCAAAATCTATTCCCCTAATCAATTCCAACACATGGAACCTAACAATGTATGCAAACATATGTGTATTGACAGGTATAGTTGCTAGATTTATGCCACTTTTTAAAGTAAGCTTCAATATCTCTTAGTATAATTTATTATATGATGTCCTTATAGTCAGTTCATTTATGTATTTCATGTTTTCCAAGTACAAATCTTACTTGGTCATTGTATATTGCTCTTTTAAAACATACAGCTGAATTTCATTTTCTGTATCATTTTTTAAAGTTTTGCATTCATAATAGTGAAATGGGTCTCTGGTTACCATGTGAGTACTATATCTGCTAGGTTTAAAACTATGCTTATGCTTAATTTTTAAAACCAGTAATGAATTTCCCTTTTATTTTTTTCTGTCCTTGGGCTAGGTAATGAACCTAAAAATTACCTGTTTTATTCTAACACTCTTTTTTCTTTCTTTCTTTCTTTTTTGTTTGTTTTGGTAAGTTTCTAAAATCTCACTCGTAAAACTGCTAAAGATGGGCATGCAAGGTAAAACTTTAAAACTCAGTTTCTTCAACTGTTTTTAATCTAGTCCAGGTTTTTCTTCTATCTTGATTTAGTATTGATAATGTTTACTTTCATAGAGATTTATTATTTCCTAAAAAATTGAAGTGTATATATATTCTAGTTTCTGTATATTCAGTACTAACTCCTTCCAAGTTGCTATTTATATTAATGTTTCCTCACTTATTAACATATTTTCAGCAGTTTGCTGGGATATCTAATGTATTGTAGCTTCTTCATTATTTTTTCCCCTTGAGGACAGAAAACTGCTGAAATTACATATGTATGTGCATGTATATATGTCTATTATTTATATGTATATGGATATTTAATTTATATATAACTGTTTATATATTATATATATAAGTTCAGAAGTTTTCATCAATATACAACATATAAATAAATATACATCTACTCTAATTTATTAATTTCTAATTTTCATTGATTTTTTCTTTTGCTTTTTGTATTTCATTGTTTTTTCAATTTGAATTCATAATCCACTTATTTTTTTTCTTATTTAATGATAAAGAATTTAAAGCTATGAATTTTACTCTGAATACAGCTTTGGATACATCTCATAAATTTGGTAAATGTTGTAGTTGTAACGTCTACCAACTATGTAATGAAAGTTTATAGTTCCTCTTTGACTCAGTATTCATTTACATGTGTCTTAATAATTTGTGATTACTCTCATTAATGGTTATTAACTTCATTTCACCTTTTATCATTGAATCTTGGTCATAAATTATGGGTTGTATAATTTATACTATGAGGAATTTATGCTAGATTTTGGGTAAAGAATTTATGCCTTTTTGAAACCATAAATGAACTAAAAAAATGTATATTCTCTCCTTGTACAGAGGTAAATATATACTGTTAATTATACTTACTATCATATTAATTCTTCTAATTCCACTACAATTTTGTTTACTTGATAGATTAAAAGTTGAAAGAGATACCTTAAAGTCTTTCTGATTATTATATTTTTTTACTATCATCTTGTTTTATGAGATTTTTTGTTTTATATATTTCGACATCATATTAGCTGGATTCTCAAGTGTCAGTTACTCCCTCAGTTCATTTTTTTAACCTGTCACTCTTCTTTTGCCTGATGTGAGTATTACTATGCCTGTTGTATTTATTATTAGGCACTTGAGATGTCTGCTATGATATGAGAAATAGGACAAAGAAGAATGATTGGTGTCAGTCAAGGTGAACCACAATCATGTCAAAGATTAATTGACCCCCAAACAAAATTTGGATATGTCATCATTGCAGAAGAGACAGTGCCTGACAGTGTCAGTTACCATTGTAGTCAGGAATGCATCCAGCTGGAAGTTAGAGAAAACATTCAACTAGAAGCAACTGAAATTAAAAATAAAGGAAATGTGAAAAGCAAAGGAAAGAAAAAAAATAAGAAAAAGTTTATGTTTCTTGTGTGAAGAGCATAGGAGGAAAATAAAAGTTGGTATATACTGTCCACCCTAGGGTTCCAAGAAAGCAGAATCAACCAGAACCCAGAGCTGTACTCTGAAGACAATAATTGTATTCACTGAAGATTCAACTACAGATTAGAGTATAATATTTAAGTCAAACTTATTTTAGGTTTGATTTTAAATTATAGACAAAGTATACCATTAGTTAGGAAATATATTATCTTTAGTAATTAACTATCTTTTCTTACTGACCAAATTACATAAGCCAAACGAAAAATCAAATATTACAAATTTAAATTCTAGGAAACATAAATTTCAACAACTTTAAATCCATCAACACTATCTGTAGGTACATATATATTTTTTCATATTTATATGCTATTTAGTGTTGGTTTGCATACAAAGATTATAAAATGTTTGTGGTCTGAGATGTAAACACTTTCAGAATGTGTCTCACCACAAATAAACCAAAATAGACCTTTTGTTGTTGTTTTTAATAATCATTTTTTTCTTTTTTATTAATTCTACAAAAAGAACATTTGCTATTCAATATCTCTCATTTAAAAACACTTATGGTTATGTTTATTTTCTCCCCTTATATTTGTCTCATGCACTGAAAAAAAGCAAACAGTATAGCAGTATTTTACTACAATTCTGCCGTAAGAAAGTGCTAAATGTAAATTCATATTATAAGTGAATAATGATGTATCTCACCTTATATTAATTTCAGTAATTGAATGGGAAAGAGGAAGATCTATTAAAAAGACCATTGCTGGTCAAACACTAATGAGAAAATATCTGAGTCACTGGCTGTCATGGTAACAGGGCATTATCAAAATCTGATTAGTATGCCCAGTAGCTACATAAGCGATAGGCAATACTTCTAATTGTATTGTCGCTGCCTGCAACATGGGTTTTATGTTCCTAAGAGGTGAGAGGGTGGCAAGGCTCTGTTTAATTTACATACTGGATATGGAATACACTGCATGTTCATAAATTAGGGTCAAACATCTAGTACTAAAGATAAATTATACTTTGGAAAGATATTCAGAAGTTAAAAACTAACTTAGTTTACTCTTGTCATTAACTTACAAATTTCTAAATTTAAGTAAAAGTGTTCTATCTAATTTCATAGACATTCATAGCAAAGATAAAAGAAAAATTGATTTTAAAAAGGAGTTGAATGAAAATATGAAAATAAATCATAGGAAATCTTCCCAAGAACAAAATTTCCAAATAGAATGGTTTAGAAAAGCACCAAGAACTATGGGTTACCAAAAGTAATCAGGCCAGAGAGTTTTAGAAAGAAGCAGATCCAAGAAGAATGATGAACAGAAAACAAGATTGGTGGTAGGAATGGGCCACAGGGAACTATGGACAGTTTTCCATCTGTGTCTTTAAGAATGTTCTCCTTTCTGTGTCCTTGGTCTTTTAGGTACAAATGAATTTAGGTTCAGTGAATTTCAAAAATTACAGGGCCCAGTGTTTTCAGTATTGCTTTGTTCTTTTTAATACCTTGAGTGTCACTGAATTTTTTAAAAAATTGATCACTTCTCTCTGATCCTTTTTGGTACATAAATTAACTCTAAAAAGAAAACTCCAAAGAGTAACAAAGGTAAATTCTGGCATGCATTATTGACTAGAAATCTCTGTGCCTTGTCAGGGCTTGTGAGCACAAGGAATGTTAATAATGCTTGTCCTGAGAAGCTTATTCCTCTGGTTAAATGCGTAAGTATGTGGACTAAGTTTTACACGTACCAAATATCAAAAACAGTCAAAAGTCAATATAATGAAAACCAAGGGGGAATTTGTCTATACACTTCGAAATTCAGTGCAGGATGTGTTGTTGGAGAAAGAAAAACATCATCAAAGATAGCAGAGTGCGGAAACAGAGTAAACAAGCACGTTCCTAGAGAGATTAGGCTATTTCTAGGAGTCCTGTGCACTGACCTTGGATGGAAGCAGCAGTCTGAAAGCCAATCAGTGTGGCCAAATCCCGTGAGAAGCACATTGCCTTTTGGAAGGCCCAACACCTTCCAGAGTCGGTCCTCGCCACAGGAGACTAGGATGTCTTTGTGGGGGTGCATGGAGACACTGCACAAGGAAAAAGAAAAAAGAGTTTTCAGGATGTGAATAAATGAAATGGCAGTGGTTATCCGATTTTAGGAAGGCAGGATAGTTTTGAGAGTATTGGCCCCAAAATAAGAGGAAGCAGGTTCTGCATCCCTGCTATAGCTCTAACACTAATAGCTTTCTGATCTTCATCAATCTAATCAGCTTCACTGGATCTCAGATTCCTCATTTGCAAGACAAAGTGGTTGGTTTAGGTGACTGTGCATATCTAATTCTGGTTTGAAAAAGAGTAATTCTGGTTTTTCTTTAAGGGAAGAAAAATTATGCCAATGGCATTTTTATGTTGGGATATTTGGACCAGTGGTCATGGTTAGCTACTATAGAACATCAACATTCTTTTCAAACTATCATATGTCTTAAATCAGCCATTATCCAGGAAAAGATCATGAATCATAACCACATCATCATAGTTCTGTAATAAATACTATAAATGAAACATTAACTCCATGGCCCACTATCTACACAAAGTGAAGGAACTAAAATTCTATCCTAAAATACCACTTAAATTGGTTTCAGTCAATGCACGGTACACAAATTACAGTAATGAATTTAAGATTCAGAAGGCAATTCCCACTCCATACAGGCATAGAGGGAAATAAGAAAGAAGTATGTAAGATTAATGATTAACACATTAAGCACTATTATTTGAACTGGACTCTGATCACTGTGGCTATTTTAATACTAGAGCTTAACTATTTTAAAATCAAAGTATACAAGGTTAATGCCTGATACTTTATCTATGGTAATGCTTTAATCTTATTTATATAAAGTATCATCTATGCCTTACAATGGTAATGGGAACAGATATGTCCAATTTAAGCACCTATTAAAATTCCAACCTAAATATTAGTAACAAATTGTTCAATTTCAATTTGGCCATCTAAACTCGAAGACAATACATTTACTTGCCTATGTAGTTCAGTAAGACACATGATTATTTAAAAAATAGCAATCACATGTTCATTTTTCCCTTAGTCTATTCTATAAATGGCCTTGTTCTTTTCTGCTGAAATATGGATTTTAGAAAATACATTTCCCAAAGAAATCATGGCTCTAGTCCACACCAACATGGCTAACTAACTCCAGGCTTACATGAGAGCAAAACATATCTCATTATTTATACCTTACATTAATATCATTAAACTCTAAAATTATCAACTGAAAAATTATTTTTAAATTAGACCTACACAGTTTTGGGAATCTACTGGCTTCAGCATTAGCAGCATTCAGGTCAAAGCCATGTAACCACTATGGGCATGGCCTTCTTCCTAGTGAAACATTTTTTCATTTTTCTCCAGCATTTTGCTGCTCAAAATAAACACAGTGGAAGGGAAATTATTCATTTTGCAATTCATCATAATGTTGGTTTGTGACTTTCAGAAGGCCAATTTAAGTAAAGAATTTATTACTGCTCAAACCGGATAGAAGATACATTTATAGAACTTAATTAGAAGAAAAATATGATGAGAGGTAAAAAATGTCAGATTAAAATGAATTCTGTATTCAAATACACACAAGAAGGCAAACCGAATCCTTGAAGCTACTGAGTATGATGTATGTTGGCTCACAGCTTTCCTGGCAGACACACGCACACTTGACCAGATGATAAATTACCCTCTTTAAGTGAAGATAACTAAAATCATTGATGTTTTTACGAACTTTGAAAGATAAGTTTCCAAAATGACTTTTGTGAGAGGAGCTATTTGTAGAAGTTAAGGCAAAAATATAAATACAAACCCATTGATGGCTAATCAGTTTTGGAAGTACTTTTTTCTGACTCTTCTCATCCCCTCCACTTTATGGCCTCTTCTGTCACACCTTAAACAACTTTGACTCCCATTCCACATGGACTGATCCTCCTAATCACACTCTGATTCCTTTGTCCATATATTCCTTTTCTAACACTGGCATAGATACATACATGTACACACATGTATATGTGTGTGTATATACACACATATGTACATATATACACATATACACATATACATATGTATACATATATACACATAACATATGTATACATATATACACATATACATATGTGTATACATATATACACATATATACATATGTGTATACATATATACACATATATACATATATACACGCATATATATACACACACACATATATACACACACAGATATATATATATATCTGTAAATGACTTTGTGGATAATTCTACACACATTTCAGCCAGGCATAAAATGTTCTTTAGCTGAATAGAAATATTTTCAGCATATATAGAAAGGAATTTAATGCTTTGATAATACATTAATAAATACATGATTTTCAATTATTCATGGAATAAGTGCATCAGCAAATAGTGGACATAGCGATAAAGAACCCCAGTGAGCAGTTCCAAATCTCAGTTCAAATCACCCCTGTGGGAGGGAAGCACAGTTTAAGGGCCATGGACCAGAAATGTTTTCCCACATACAGAAACTGTGTTATTCTCAACTCCATAATGAGACATAATGTCATCATCTTCATCATAATTAACTAATGGTAATGATACTTAACATTGAAAATTTAATGTGCCCCATACCTGGTACTAAATGCTTAGTTCTCACAAATGAAATGAAAGCTCAAAAGAGCCGGGGTTCATATCTGTGTTGTTTGCTGTACGCTCAACCCCAATAGTGGCTGGCACATAGTAGCTATTCAATAAACATTCATCAAATACATGACTTAGTGATTGATGTTGGTACTATCAGTATTGTTATTTTATGCCATAAATAGAGTTAGTAGAAATACCATGTAAATTGCCCAAGCTTACCTTTGGTAGTGAATGGAAACCAACTTTGAACCCAGTATGACTTGGTTTTAAGACTCATAATTTTAGCTACTCCTACTTAGTATGAATCATTCAATCATTTGTTATTTCTATGTGTACTAGAAACATCAATAATTCCTGTTACAGAGCTTGGATGTAACTATTATCATACCCAGTAAATGCTTAAGTCATTTAGTCATTATTAAACCCTGAGGTAAAGAACCAATTTAGGAATTGTCAGTGTATTGTATCAGAGCTCAGTACCACCAGACACAATAGTCTTAGAGGGGTTAGAAGACCCTGCTCTTTACAGTTAATATGCTCTGGTACTGCAGGAGAAACTAAGGGAGGAGAGCCTCTCCTACAATCTGTCTACGTAAGTTTCTGTGCAGATGTACATGCTGCACTTAACAAGATCTTTCTTTTCTTGTGCTAACAGTACAAGTCCAGTATGTGTACATCAAGTTGTCAAAGGGCATTGACTTTTTTTTTTTTTTTTTTTTTTTTTTTTTTTTTGAGACAGAGTCTCATCATTGATAAACCTTCTGAGGTAAAGAACCAATTTAGGAATTGTTTGTGCATTGTAATCAGTGGTTTCGCTGTACCGCACTAGACACAAATAGTCTAGAGGTTAGAAGATCCCTGCCTGCAGTTGTTATGCTCTAGTACTGCAGGAGAAAACTAAGGATGAGCCTGGCTAATCTGTCTAATGCAAGCTCTCTGAGCAGATGTACATGCTACACTTAACAAGATCTTCTTTCTGTGCCAACAGCACAAGTCCAGTATGTGTACACTGCCGTCAGCCGGCACACTTTTTTTTTTTTTTTTTTTTGAGACAGAGTCTCACTCAGTTGCCCAGACTGGAGTACAGCGGTGCAATCTCAGCTCACTGCAACCTCCCCCTCCGAAGTTCAAGCAATTCTCCTGCCTTAGCCTCCTGAATAGCTGGGATTACAGGTGTATGCTACCATATCCGGCTAACGTTTGTGTTTTTAGTAGAGATGGAATTTCACCATGTTTGTCAGGCTGGTCTCAAACTCCTGACCTCTTGATTCGCCCACCTCGGCCACCCAAAGTGCTGGAATTACAGGCATGAGTCACTGCACCCGGCTGAGTTTTTATCTTTTATTTTCATAGAGGTCTCTAAACATAAATGTAGAACAATACTTAATAATCATTGATTCCATAGGCCTTTAATTCATTAAAAATTTACCCAATTATACTCAGGGCTCAACTTTGTTTACCTCTGAATCAGTCTTTTGAAGAAGCTGAAGAATAGGAGTACTAACTAATACTTTATAGGAGTCAGTTCCTCTTCCCAAAATTGCATACATAAATTCATTCAGTGGCTATAATACAGGCATACCTTGGAGATACTCCAGGTATCAGACAATCTTGGTTTCAGACAATCTCAATAAAGTGAATATCACAATAAAGTAAGTCATACAAACTTTTTGGTTTCCCAGTACATGTAAAAGTTATGTTTACCCTATACTATAGTGTATTAACTATATAATAGCATTATGTCTAAAATGACAATGAAAAAATACTTTATTGCTAAAAAATGATGATCATCTTAACATTCATCCAGTCATAAGCTTTCTGCTGGTGGAGGGTCTTGCCTTGATGGTGATGACTGCTGACCAATCAGAGTTGTGGTTCCTGAAGGCTAGATGGTTGTAGCAATTTCTGAAAATAAGACAACAATGAAGTTTGCCACATCAATGTACTTTTCATTTCAAAAAGATTTCTCAGTAGCATGTGATACTGTTTGATAGCATTTTACCCACAGTGAAACTTCTTTCAAAACTGGAGTCAACCTTCTCAAACATCTTTATCAAATATGTTTATGAAACATTTTAAATCCTTCCTTGTTATTTCAACAGTATTCACAGCATCATCACCAGGAGTAGATTCCATCCCAAGAAACTACTTTCTTTGCTTATCAATAAGAAGCAACTCTTTATCCATTCAAGTTTTATCATAAAATTGCAGCCATTGAATCACATTTTCAGGATGCACTTCTAATTATGGTTATTTTTCTATTTCTATCATATCTGATGTGACTTCCTCCACGGAAGTCTTGAACCTCTCAAAGTCATCCATGAGGGTTGGCATCAACTTCTTTCAAACTTCTGTTAATGTTTATATTTTGATCTCTTCCTATGAATCATGAAAGTCTCTTTCCAGAAGGTTTTCAGTTTACTTTGCCCAGATCCATCAGAGGAATCACTGTCTATGGCAGCTATAGCCTTACAAAATGTACTTTTTTAAAAATAAGAATTGAAAGTTGAAATTACTCATTGATCCCATGGGATGCAGAATTGATATTCTGTCAGCAGGCATGAAAATAACATTTGTCTCCTTGTACATCTTCATCACAGTTCTTAAGTGACCAGGTGCATTTTCAATGAGAAGTAATATTTTGTAAAGAATCATTTTATTTTGAACAGTAGGTCTCAAAGGTGGGCTTAAAATATTCATTAAACCATGCTATAACCATGTCATCTGGGTTTTGTTGTCACATGTGCAAAATAGATTTAGCATAATCTTAAAGGTCCTAGGATTTCCAAAATGGTCAATGAGCATTGGCTTCAACTTATACCAGCTGCATTAGCCCCTAACAAGAGAGTCATCCTGTTATGTGGAGTGTTGAAGCCAAGCATCAACTTCACCTTTCTAGCTTTAAGAGTTTTAAATAATATATTCTTCCAATAAGGGGCTGTTTATGCCGAATAATTTGTGTGTGTGTGTGTGTGTGTGTGTGTGTGTGTGTGTGTGTGTGTTTTGAGATTAGAGTCTCTCTCTGTCACCCAGGCTG